TTCTTTGTGGATTGGCTGATATTTTCGGTAGAAGGTCAACTATAGGCACTGGGGTCCACATATTTAGTACTTAGGGGCTTGAACAGTTTTGGTTGGATTTAGACAATTTTTGGTCACAAGGTGGCATACGTTAAACGTATTATTCACGCAAAGTTTTACCCCGATATGATCATTGTTGCTTGATATGCATAGTGGAAAGTGAAAGAATCAGATGGAATTGAAAATGGTGTTATACGGGAAATAGGCGTGGTTGTAGTCCGATTTCGCCCATTTTCGCACTATAACAAAAAGAACGTTACGCACCGAATTTGGTTGAAATCGGATAAGCAGATCCCAAGATATGGGTTTTCACCTAAAAGTGGGCGGTGCCACATTTACTGACTAATTTTGAACGCGGTTCCTATAAAGTCATCTCATAATATCCCAGAGATAAAATTTAATGTCTCTGGCGTGTTTAGTGCTTGATTTATCGCGCTGTTAGTAGTTTTTAACAGTACCGTTATATGGGGAGTGGGCTTTCAACTATTTTCACACTGTAGGTAGAGGTTCTAAAAACATTTGCTTCCAGTGAATTTTGTTATTATAGCATTAGCGGTTTATTTGTTTTTGAATAATGGCGTTTTGTGGGCGTGACAATGGTCCGATTACGCCCATCTGCAATACCAACCGTGGCTAAATGAGCCTACGTCGTCCCGAAAACTTACACCAACACACCTCACACATCACTGACACGCAACATTCACCACATCACCTCTCGCAACATTCACCACCTCACCTCACGCAACATACACCTCACACAACGACCCTACCACCCAGGATACACAACACACCGGGCGATCACCCCACCAACCATCAACAAAACCACGGACACTAGAATCGGCTTGCCTCTTTTTCGTTTTGAACTCGCAGCGAAAGCACCGTCATCCGTGGATTCGTCACATCAGCGGATCTGATCCGAACCAGTTAAATTGCTATCAAAGGCATTTATATACATTTTTTTTCTCTTCTCTGCGCTGCGTCGCAAGTGATTGTGGTATTAAGGGAGTGTATAAAACCCGTACTTTCAATTACAAAATAAAATTACAGTTGTATTAAAAGCGAAAGGTGGTGAGTGTATAAGTTTTTCTTTGAAAACTTTGGAAAGAATTATATATGGTCCTTCGAGCCTAAAAGAAAGGCACTATCGATTTACAAAAAAAAAAAAAAAAAAAAAAAATCAAATTTATATATTATATGGTGGTATATGTATATGCAAAAAGCCAAAGTGCAGTGGAACAGTGAGAAACCAAAAAAAAACAAAAAAAAAAAACAAAGCTACCTAAAGTGTTAGTTCAGTGCAGTGTTAAAACAAAAAAAAAAAAACATCCAAAGTGCTGTGTAGTGTACTAAACATATAAAAGCATATCTACAGAAAGTTATATACATATACATATATACAAGGTGTTTCGCTTGGTGAACAAAAAAAAAAATTTATATATATATAATAATAATATCGACTTAAAAGTGGTGTGACAAAAAACAGAAAATATTAGATAAATACTTAAACTACATATTAATTTACATACAAATAACAACAATAAACAAAACGGGCGCGAAAATAATGCCAAAATCAAACCGGGCGCGATCCTAACAACAAATTTAATTTCATACAAATATACATTCGGGCGCGGAGCAAAAAAAAAAAAAAAAAAAACACCACAAAAAAGCAACACCTAGCACACACAAAATCCAAAGGAAAGGACAAAGGAATTGGAAAGAAGCACAGAAGCACACATAGACGTACATACACGTAACTATTGTATATACACGCAATACATTTATTCCCCAAAAGCCCTTGGAGGAAATCAAAGTGAGTCCATTCGATTCCTTTTCTTATATTTATGCACATACATATATATTTATTGCGAATTGCAGTTTACATTTGCACAAAAACTGTAATAAAATACCAAAAACACCGTTCAATATCTTGGTAACGGTTGGCAATTTGGTATAACTTACCGGTTTTTAATTGCGGGGTCAAATAACGAAAAACCGTTTATTGTATATATGTATATAACATATAATAATTGACTACCTGTACCTGCTTACCTTCGTGTATTCAAACACAATATACAAAAAAAAAAAAAAAAAAAATAAAGTATTTCATTACTTACAAATATTTCCGGCAATACCCCTTACGCTTAATTAAGCAGTAAGCAGGATTGCGTAATATATGTGAGCAAAGGTATAGTCAAACTTAAAGCATAAAATACAATAAACGAAGTTAAACGAAAAAAAAAAAAAATATATATATATATATATATACGTACGAAAAGGAGTACATACATTTACTACTAACGTATATATAACAAGTACATATATAAAATTATATACAGCGTGCATAATCACGCATACATACATATGTATTTTTAAATATTAAATATTAATATCGTATTTCACATATCGTACTTTACATACATACGTATATATCCTATGCGTCATTTATACATACAATTAAAAACTTGCATACGTACATACAGTGCT